CCAGAACCCCTTATTAGGGGCAAGATTCTGTCTCCAGAGTCAGGTAGCAGAGGATGGAGACAGCAGGATTATAAGTCCATCTTGAAAAGTTTTATTTGGGACTGAGAAATCCCATCCTTCAGCATCTTTTTCATTTCTTCATCTACAGTACTGAATCCTCTGCTGAGCTAGGTTCTTAAACTAGGTCTGTCTCTCCAAAAAGAACTGCAGCAGCATTTGCTCCCTTTTCTTTTGGAATAGCACAGAAAAAGGGAGAGATCCAAAATGTTCCATGAAAAGAACAGAATTGAGAGCCTTTTTTTCCTAGCAGAGTACCCTTATCACCAGGATTTCAGTTACACGGAAAGGGATGCATTTTTCTCCTCTCTCCTTAACCCTACAGTGAAGCTCTGCCACTGTACAGAAAGAAATATAAGGGAGAAGCTGGAAATAACCCATAAGCCATCCCAGAATTGGTAGGACGTTCACACAGGGCAATGAACAAAACAGCCACTTCTTTTCTCTCACTTCTCAAGAGTCAGACTCGCGCTCTTCTGCTTACGCTCCATCCTCACGGCTGGTGCAGGAAAGATGATACCCCAGCAGGCAGAACTCAGGGAGCAGAAGAGAGATTGAAATTTGAATCCAGGTGTTGATTCACCAGGGCAATCGATGCTTTTGCCTCCTCTTCTGTTTTAGCACACGCACGATCTGATGCGGTTCACCTCTCAGCTTTCCAGCCTTTTCAGCCCAAGGCTGCAGCTGTCGCGCCCCCGCACCACGTTCTCGGATACCAAGACCGTTGTGTAAAGGATGCGGAGAGGGTTCTGCTGCCTGAATCTGCTTCTGCAAGGACAGAGGTTACAGCACCTGCGGTTAGGCGGCGCTTAACTCTGCTGATGCGAGCTAAAATGGTTAACCTTCTGCAACGGGGACGTACAGCGCCAGGCACGCTGAAAGTTTCCTTTTGGAAAGTGGTCACCTCCTAATCAGCCACTGCTAGGCAGGACTTATCCCGATAACACATTTGAACGCAGTCGTCAAAATTTGCTTTGCATCCTTTTTTAAGCACCGATTTTAGAACCGGCCCTAGGAAACTAGAAGCAAGAGAACTTTCTGCACTAATTTCATGTCCTCCGTGTTTGGTTTTGACAGCAGTGCTTCACTTTTTCGGCATCTTTGAAGATGGCTCCTGATACTTTTGTGTCTGAGTTTTTGTGAGAACTGCTATTAAATGCTATGTAATGAAAGGCTTGAAATTGGAGGAAATTTAACCTGGGAATATTTTCACTCCTATCCTTATCTTTAAACCGATATCACAGCCTCATAAGTATAAGAAAATAATTAAAACTTAACTTATTTTTTCAACAAACTCTACAGAGGAGCTAATGTGAAGTACAGGTAACAGAGAAAAACTAAGTAAAGGCCAGGACTTAACACCTCATTCATTAAAATCTCTGAAATACTTGGAATTTAATGCAGAGGAGTCTTCTTTTCACCATAATTATGTGAAAGACCAGAATAAAACAGAGTTAAATGAGGCAAATATATAAATAAGAGAGCCTAGAGTTTGTGGTAGCTTTACTTACTATCTTAATTATATATTTCCTTTGAATGTTTCTTTTTTCCCTCCCTGGGACAGATGGAATAAATTAATCTTAAATGCAGCATAAAATCTATTCCAGATTCTCTCATACGCCAGTGCTTAAACATAACTAACTAGAATAATAAAAGTTGGAGATGGAAAAGATCTATTAGCTGACCACCTAAAGTTTTACATACAGAAATGTATCAATTTAACTAAACCTATTTCTAAATATTCCAGGAGGTTTGGTTACATCTTAAATCCATTCAACAGTGGCTAGAGTCAATTTATTTCCCTTCGAAATCACACTTAAAAGCAAATGGAAGCGACCTGCTTTCAAGCACAGTTGCACTGACTAAATAAATGCGCGTGTCTAAACTAAGAATCGGAGGGACAGCCAGGTCTGTCCCGTCCTGGCAACAGCCTTCCGATACCTCCTGGGGGGGCTCAGGGTCCCCCACGGCCATTGCAGTGGATAGAGAATAAATACTCACCCAAAACAGAGGCACAAGCTGGGAATCGAGATACACCGAATTGTTGTCTCATTTTTATGCCTCTCCAGCCTTGGAGGAATCTCCTAATGACACGCGATGTCTGAAAACACGTGCAGGCCTCTTCCCTGAGTAGGATGATTTAAATATTAGCAAGCTGAGAACCAGCTCATGTCAAGGGTACTTCCACAGACAGGCACAGTGTTTTGGTCCTAGTCCTAAAAGAATTTGTATGCATTTAGCTTTGTGAGTAAATTGGTTTGGATGGCAGTTTACCACTCGCAAATGATAGAAGAGTTTGTTTCCATACGTTTTGAACCACTATGTAGGTGCCTGTACAGAACTGCTCTGTATTGGGCAATTTTTATAGCATTTTCTCCAAACCAGCTTTTAGCAACTTTCTGGGGGAAAGACAGAAGAGGGATTGTAATTAAAGGGGTTTATTCCATACCTAAAGCCTTATGTTTGTGGGAATGTTTATGTGAAATCCTCCGCATAAACTGGAAAATCATTTATCTGCCTTCAAAATGACACGCATGCCAATACGGCCAAATATTCGAAACAGATTAAAGGCCAATTTTCCAGTACAGTCATTTTTTTTCCTTACTCTTGAGGAGTAGTCGTGGCTGAAAGTTTCTTCCAAAGATCACTGGAGACACACCGTGGCCTGACCTCCTGTGACGCCCAGAGGCCGCAGGAGCGCGCACGACACGAGCCCAGCGCCTCTCCAGGGGAGAGCAGCGGGAATTCACCAGTTTCATAAGAAGCATTTCTGGGTTTGGTGCCCGCTAACAACACCTTGACGGCTCTTCCCAAAATTTCCTCTTTTCCTTTGATTTCACAATGGCCCTACCCACATCCAGATTATTTTGGAGAACCAGGGCCAACCGCTATCAGAGACAACAGTGGCATGAACTCTGCCCAGCATGAGCCTATTAAACGATGTTAATTGTTACTGTTAACTTGTCCTCTTATATACAGCTTGATGGACACCGGCGAGCATGAATGTGTCTTGAAATGAAGGACACCAATGCCCTGAAATGTAGACATAGATAACAATGTACCAGTCACAAACTAAACCAGTTTAGAACTTCTTATGCTAGTGTAAGGTTGTCTTGTAGAGTATATTTTTATATTCTGGTCCAAATATTGCGATTTTCCCTATTTTTCTTCTTTCTTGTAAGGCACAAATCATAAAAGGTAAAAGAAAATAATTTAATTTGTTTGTTTCTTTGTTTGTTTATCCCGATCACTTTCTGTATGTGGCCATCTCCTACAGCTGATAGAAATCTGGTAGTTGTTACAGATTTTCGCAGAGACTGTTCCAATTCATCAAAGCTGACATTGTCCACAAAACATCCATGGAAGAGGTTTCCCAGTTCTGAGGTACATTCTTTTTTTTTTTTTTTTTTTTTAATTGTCCCACAATATCTAGATTGTGGGGAACACAAAACACCCCTCCCTCAGGTTTGTGCTTGAACCTCATTCGGAAGAGACAAGAGGCTGGAAGAGTTGGGGGGTTCAGCCTGGAGAAGAGAAGGCTCTGGGGAGCCCTTCGAGCGGCCTCCCAGGGCTTAAAGGGGGGACAGGGAAGGGGGGGGGGGGATTCTTTATCAGGGGGTGTAGGGATATGATGAGGGGTGATGGTTTTAAACTGAAAGAGGGGAGATTTAGATCAGATATGAGGAAGAAATCCTTTAATGTGCGGGGGGTGAGGTGCTGGCCCAGGGTGCCCAGAGCAGCTGTGGGTGCCCCCTCCCTGGAAGGGTTCAAGGCCAGGTTGGACGGGGCTGGGAGCCCCCTGGGCTGGGGGAAGGGGGCCCTGCCCGGGGCAGGGGGGTCAGAACTAGATGGTCTGTAAATTCCCTTCCAACCCAAACCGTTCTGTGATTCCACGAGTGCTGGTCTCTCAGCCTGAAGACACGAGCTAACAAATCAGTTCTCCCTTCTCTTGTAATCTGCTACAGCCTGAATGGCAAGTGGATTGAGGGAAGCATGATTTTTTTTTTTTTTTTTTTTTCTTTTGGCTGAGATCTTGGTTCACACCTACATGCAGGTGCAGGAATATTTGTATTTCTGTAAGTGGCTGGAGAAACAGAGAGATGTCCACCTCCAAATACAAAACAGGCAGGCAGGCATGATATGCACAGACGACAGGAGCTGACCCACAGCTTTTCCCTGCACTCTCATGTTATTCAATACAACTGCCCCACTACCAGCAGGGTTTCCTACATCAGCATTTCTTTGCAGGCAGCGTTCAAAATGTTCCTTTTGCCTCACATCAGTTTTTGTCATCATAACAGAAATTCTCACAGGGTTGAAAAACCATCCCCTGGCCACTTCTGTGTGTGATTTCAATATGATTGCATTTGATGTAATGAGCAAGTGCCAGGCAGCGCTGAGGGAGAGTGGAGAAAGCTCAGCACAGCGCAAGACTTCGAATAAAAGGCTGGGACAGCGGATCCCCCCGAAATGAGATGGCTAGTGAGCCGTCCGTCCGACAAGCCCTCTTAACTCTCACTGGCTACGGGGCGCCGCACCTTTTAAGCCCTTCTTCCAGCTGCAAAAACAAAACCCGATACGCTGGAGGTGCTGAAGGAGTTCCGAAAATACGAGCACCCAAGCGCGGCGGCCTGGCGGCAGGCGTGGAGGGAAGGTTCTCTCTGCGGGGACGTGGGGGGGTTTGGGGGGGGGGGGGGGGGGGGGGACAGGCGGGTCCTCGGCCCCCCCCCCCCCCCCCGAGGGGGCTCCCCCCGGAGCAAGGGGGCGGCGGGGGAGGGGAAGGGGGGCTCGGCGCCCGCCGTGGGTTGGGGGGGGGCCGGGCCGGAGGATGGGCTCCGACGCGGGGGGGGGGGGGGGGGGGGGGGGGCGGTGGCCGCTGCCTCTCGCCCACGGAGGGAGAGGCAGAGGCGGAGGCAGGTCTGGGGGAGCCGCCGCTCCCCCCACCTCCGCGGGTGGGCGGGGGGGGGCGTGCGTGGGAGCCCCGCTGCCGCCATGGAGAAGCAGCCCGGCGGCGAGGACGACTGCGTGGACTCGGGAGCCGAGACGGGCGGGTGAGTGGCGGGGGGATGGATCTTCCCTTCTCTCCCCCCCCCCCCATCCCCATCCCCCCGGGCCGCGGCGGGGCCTTTGGAAGGGGGGGTGGGTTTGGGGTCCCCCCCCCGGGCCGGCGGGCTGTGCACTTGTTGCCGGCGCGTCCCGGGCAGCGGCGTGGCGTGGGGTCGCGGGTGAAGCTCCGTGTCCCGGGCACAGCCACCCCCCCCACCCCCCCTCCCCTCCGACGGGGGGGACGGCACCCCGCTCAGAGCGGGGTTCCCTTTCCTCCTCCCACACCGGGGCTGGGGGTCCTGCGTGATCCCCCGGGGAAGCGGGGAGCGCTCCCGCCGCGGGGCACCGCCGTGCTTGGGAAGCCCGGGGGGAGTTTACCCCTCTCCTTCGGTTGGAGTAGGGGAAAGCTCCCCACCATCCTCCTCCTACACGTGGGGAGGAAGATACTAAGGGATCGTGGGCTTCAAGTTTGAGCTCCAAAGCACGTTGGGCTGCCTCAGCAGAGGGACCCGGCACGGAGCTTTTTGGGCTGCAGGCACATCGGTCCACACCGTCCCTGTACCCCGGGGTAAATTGTGTCGAGGATAGTCTGGAAGCATCTCCAGACACCTCTTCTGCCCTTGGGGCAGTGACACCCGGACAACATCGGGCAGACAGAGCCGACTTCTCAGAAGGGACCGTCAGAGAGCCACCCACAAAAACGGGGTAGATTTGCAGGCACCCTGAAATTGGGTTGCTGTCACGATGCTCGTCGTGCTGACCGGGTGAAGGGCTCTCAACTTTGCTGGTGGTTGTCCGAACTTTAAGTGTGATATCAGAGTCGAGGAGAAGGACTGTTTTCTGCCTTCGTGAGCCCGCTGCCAGAGGTGTGCTGTGTTGATTTGTTGGCTGGCTTCTGCTAAGATCGTGGAGCTGCAAGGGGGATCCTTGGGATCCCCCCACTCAGCTCCCACCCGCAGCCGGTCTCTGTGGGAGAGGGAGGGAGGTGCTCTCCAGCCCATCCTACATACTGCTGCCCTATCACCTCAAGAGCAACAGGGAGCCTTGGCTCCTTCTCTGGCTCCAGAAGGACAAAAGGAGGTTGTCCACTCCTTGTTAACACTGTTCTCTCGTAGGTCTTCATTCTCCTCCCTCCTTGCTTTCCGGATTGTTTTTCTCCCAGCTCCCTATCTGGTGTATCTCCTTTGGTCTCTCTCTAGTCTGACTGTTGCAAAACTGTAAAGCTAATTCTTCTTTGCAAAGTGGTGTCAGGTGCACAGCATCAAAACTGAAGTAGCAGTACTACAAATATTTTTCAAAAGGTGGAAATGGAATATGGTAATCTTTTTCCTATATCCAGCTATTAATTCAAATCAATTTTTGGATCTCTTCTGTGGTCTGCGAATTAAGGACTTTTTCCATTACTTTGTATTGTGGTTATACCTAATGGTGAAGGCTTTAAAATATTTTGTGTGACATGAGCTTAAAAAAAAAAAAATCCAGGCCTCTTTTCCAGATACTGGAACAACAGGGTTTTAGTTCATCTTTGGGGAATGTGGGTAAAAGAAAGACAAAATAATCAGTGGATTCATGTCTGGTTCAAAGCTCAAAAAATCCTGGATGGGTCAAGTCACTCAGATTTTGCTGTTTATCTGGAATAGAAAACCTGGGTTTCCTTGGGAGAGGGACTTGGAAGGATTTGACCCAGCTGGTGACATTAGCCTTTAGACCTCAGTGACCAGCCTGACAGCCACTCGTGTCTGGTGTTGATGAGGTGCTAATGCTGATGATTTGATGAAGCATCCCTGTCCCGGGCTTGACACTGGAAAGTGTAGGTTAGCGGAAGAGTCTGCCTGAGAATTTAAACAATGACATATGGCAATTAATAACCGCAGTGCTTTGCACTGAAGTTTATTTTGAAAAGGGATGGGTCTCTGCATTTCAATTATTATTTTTAGTTCTGTTTAGCAGCTATTTTAGTCTGATAAACATGTTGCGTATGTCTCTTTCACAATGTTTATATTTCAGTTTTCTCACCAAACCAACTGTTCACAGCACTTGCTTTTCCTTCTCACCAGAGGATCTACTTCTTGCTTTGTCTCAGTCCCACCATAGGTATTGCTGAGTTGAGATGCCTTCCTTTCTCTCCAATTACTCAATGGTAAAAAAAAAAAAAAAAAAATAAATTAACTACTTTGAAGTTCACCCATCATCCTCTTAAAGTATAAGGAGAGACAACTCTCGGAGTAATTCAGTAACAGTTTTACATCAAGTGGTTCCTTTCTGTCGCTCAGGGAACAATAGTGGATAGTGACTGTAGGAAACGCAGGCGCTGCAAGCCCTTGTCACCTTGATGGTTGCGTGTACTGATGTGTGAGCTCTTACACGGAGCCTGTGCCGCTGAAGCTGCTTAGAGCAGCCGACCAGCCGGGTACATCACGCACTCGGCGGGGCATGTGTCCCGTAAGGTTTTGCTACAGCTTCCAGCCACAAGAGCCAGCAAAACTCTGTGCCACCAGCAAGGTCAGTTATACTTTGAAGCCTTCGTTTTCCTAACCCGTTGGGAAATATGTCCCTCTTACTGCATTTGCCTTGGTAAATAGGTTTGGCAAAGAAGCTGCTGAACAAAAATAGTGTATTTTGAGTTCCTGAATCCAATAAGAATGGATTGAGCTGGTGTTGTCAAGTACCTAAATAAAGGGAGTAGAACATATAATCCAATTAGTATATATTGGCTACTTATTAATGAGATTGGAAAGAGTTTGACCATCCTTGGTCTGGAAGACTTTGCCTGTACAAATTCTGTCTTCTTGGGAAATGCATTTTTGGGCTTTTTAGTATGAAAACCTTATTTCATCTGCTAGTGAAATCTTTTAGCCCAGAAGTATGGGAGACAGAGATCTTTCTCTGGCAATAATTTTTGTAGTGGATTTGTTCTATAAAACCTGGCATTTTAGGAAGAAAAAAATGACCTTTCTTTGGTCTTTGATTAGAAAACAAACAGATGGAAAAACAAGCTGAAGAAAAAAATGGAGCGGAGGAGAAATATGTATGTTTAAAGAACCGTAGAGAAATTGTCAAGAAAAACAAAACAAAACCAAAAAAAGCTAGAAATATTAATACGAAGTTACTTAAGATGAGCTGTAGAAATGTTCATTTTCAAATTTTCTTGATTTTACAAGCCATGTAAACGCTGTTATTTCAATATCCTTATTCTGAATAGCAGAGCAAAGGGTTTGGGGGCCAAAACGCTCAAAGTGACAAGCTAAGACAATTTCAGAAGTTGTTAGGCAGGTAGTTTTGAAGCAATGAGACAGATTCTTGCTACCACTGATGCATGCAATGGGCAAAGCATCAGCTGAATTCATTGTATTCAGGACTGATATCCCGAGGGACTATAGTGAATATGGAAAACAAGTGGTTTCTCGGACCTAAAGTCTTAATTTTTTTATTCCTAAACTTTGGTTGTGCTAGTTGTGTTCAAGGATTACTTCTATAGGAATGCTCTCTCCTGTGTATCAGGTGTATGTGCCCTAACTGAGCATAACACCTCAGTGAGAAAGCTGGCATTAATGAAGATTTCAATAGATGTGACAATTCCCAGCAGAACTTCACTTGCTCCCTAAACCAGCTGTAAGGGCCCATGTCTTAAAGGGTTCACACTTTAATCATTAACTTACTAATAGTATCAAAGTTTGCCTAAACCCTTAGTTTTCTCCTTCCTCACTTAGGAGACATTTAAAGTTTTGACAAGTTATAACTTTTAACTTAAATAATTTATATTTTCAACTTTTCCACTTATATTTCAAATAATTTATGAATCTTTTTAGAGGAAGTGGGGAGACATTACTGAAGTACAAGTTTTTTTTTTTTTTTTTCTGTATAATAACTTTAAAACCTAAATATTGACAATGCAAACTGAATTAATTAGTAGTTAATTGCTGAGTATTTGATAAATTTTGGGAACTAGGAAAATTATACTGTTTCTTTGGTAGCAGGCAAATGCGAAGGAACAGTTCAGCAATATAGAGAGAAATCCATTGCGAAACAGAGAGACAAAAGATGTTTGAAGCTTAGGACACGGTACCATGCAGCAGCTGTTTTTAACCCATATTCAGCAAAATCTGTTACTGTTTGGTTACAGTTATTATTCAGAGGGGTTGTTCCCTCCTTTACATTATCTCCTGTGGTTCTGTCCCTCAAGATAATTTTGTAGAATTATGTCAATTTTTCGACTGTGCTATACTTGTTTGGTGGTTTTCCTTGTGACTCTCACTAGCTGCATGTGTGATACCGGCAAAATCACAAATTATTTGAGCCTCTGTTAACTTATCTGTTAAGCAGATAATAAAATCCTTTCTTTATGTGTTGCAGTTCTGTCAAATGTGTGAGGCTCTAAAGCAGAAAACAAAATTGATAGTAGAAGATGAGACAGCATAAAAAAAAGAGGGTGTGCCCCACTTAAAGGTAAAAGTATTAAGAGTATTGTGATTTGTGTGTGTCCTCAGTCAGAAGGGGATTGCTTAAATTATCAAATGAACAGTTGGATGGTTTATTGGGGTGAGAGCTTGCTTTCATGTCACATGTTTCTAGTGTAAAGGGATTCAACACTTATGACTTTGTCATCTGTATGGTAATCCTTTGATATGACATGTCAGTCTCTTGTCACATATTTCATCCATCTATGGGAAAGTCTCAGGAATACAAATCACTGCTGCTAAAACCTATTTTAAGGCCTATTTTTACCTGGGGGTTTCTTTTTTTTTTTTTTTTTTTTCTTCTTTATTTTTTTGCTGCTGAGACTTTCACTTCCTATATATCCATCATTCCAGCTGCGTCAAGGTAGACAACTTGTCTCTGATTTAACATTCAAATAACATGAAGTTGAGCTGTTTGTCACCAATTGGGGTTGAGGCACCGTTTCTAACCAGATTTACTCGCGGCTCGGTTGAACCTCAGGGCGGGCAGACCTGTGAGCACACGGCACCGGGTCTAGGCACCGAAAAGGGGGTTGAAATAGAGTTTAAATCCCACGGTGGTGGCCAGGAGGTCTGCGCTGCCACCCGTGATAGCTGGGTCCCAGCGGGCAGCGAGGTTCACCTCGGCTAACAGTAGCTGGGCGGGGGTTAGGCGTTTGGTATGAATTGGGCTTGTTTCTGGTGTTAGCTAAGAGCGCCAGGACCTCGGGAGGGTGGCTCAGCCCCCGGCTGCGGGCGTGTGGGTACGTGCCACCCGAGTCCCGATGCGTCCCCTCGGGGAGCGCTCTGCAAACGCGTGGCGAGCAGGGTGTGCGCTAAAGCACAGCATGGCCCTGCCTCATCAGACGCTTTTCAGAAGATTACAAACAGCCTTTCCTCCTTAGATGATGATGATGATGATGTCTCTCACATGGGGCCTCAAACACTGCTGTTAGCAATAAGCTCCTGTGTGGAGCAGTTAGAGCTGAGGGATGGGAATCCGTCGTCTGACTTCATCACTCCACTAGAAATCCGGAGCAAGGCGTTTTGAGACAAGTGACTCGGCGTTACTCCACCGCAGTCATCTTGATTACAGAAGTAGAAGTACGGCTGAAGGTAATGGATTTGCTCTGAACTGATACTAGTGAAGCAGATTGTAATCTGACCCACAGGAATTTGGTGAGAAGAAACCCAAGGCGGAGCTACAAAGCTAAATCTTCTGACTCATGCATTGTGCTTGAACCGCTATAAAACCCTCCCGTGTGGCCCATGGAGCATTTTCTGGGGGAGGGAAGGCAAAGAAACTGTTAAATACAGCTCTTAATATGAAGCAGTGAAATCTGAAGCAACTCTCGATAGAGAAGGCAGGGGGAAATGTGAATCCAGCAGGTGCTGTTCCATCAGTCCTAGGCAAGCGAAGGATGCAGAAGAGCTAATAAACATTCCACAATTCCGGGTGAGGGGTGGGGATTAAGTAGCCCTGGCAATGGAGACCTCGGACGTATCATGGTGCGGTATTGTGTTAGAACAGCTTGAGAGATGTGTGTTTGTTTTACACAGCAGACTGCCTCGTGGAGATGCTGCCTGGCTCGGAAGCCCTAGTTACAGCCGTGGCAGTGCGTTCGACAGCATGGGGGGGAGTGTCCCTGAGCACCGGGGAAGAGTTGTCCCTGTTGTTGAATACTTAAGCTGGTTGATGGCATCGGTTTGGATGGAGCCATCTCGCTCTCTCCCATGTGATCCTCGGGTGTGTTTTACTGTGGGCCAAGGACTTGTTTTACCACATTCCCACGGCCCCGGGGACCGTTCCCCGCAGACCACTTGGCAGTCTGGTTTGGAAGGCAAGAATTTTTAACGGTACAGGTGCAAGGCTGTTTCATGGCAGGTTGGCCTCGGTCCCAGACAATTCTCTTGAGCCTGGTTGTTTGCTGCTGTAGGTGTCACTGCTGTAGCTGTGTTAGCGTGGTGCTGGGCCACGGCTGAGCAGCATTGCCAAAGTAACCCAAGCGCGACGCTGGTTTAGCTCCATCGCTTGTGTGACTCAGAGACGTAACGCAGCTGTGCTTCCTACCCAAAGAAACAGGCTTAGTCTGGTTTTATATACAGTACTCAGTAACTGCAAGTTGTGCTAGCCGCTACTTACTGGTTTTCAGTGGGCTATTTCCCTTCCTTGCGTATTTTGAGGCTCTGTGTCACTAATCAGCAAGGAGTAGTGCATGCCGATCTCAGAGGGTTGCTCGGGATCTTTTGTGCTCCTGAAGGCCTTATGCTGTGATAATGCACATGGTCCATCAGTGGTGCTAATGGGAACCGAGGTCCCACGTTTATCTCAAGCCTCTACATTCCTGTTTTAATGTCTCTTGACATCTCCACAGATCCTCTTTGCTGGTGGGCTGACCAGTGAGTACAAACCCTTTGACGACTGATGCGTCTCTCGACTGAGCGATGAGCCCTCCTTTTCGGTACCTCCCACTGCTTCAATACCCTTTTTGATCATTTTTTCCTCATTATGTGCCTATAAAGGGAACAGTCATCCATTTGTTCAGTTTCTGTCCTGAATGTCTGTTTCCTTTTATTTATCATGTAATATCTATCAGAGGAAATAGCTTGCTGCAAGACCATGTAATTGGCCTGGAACCTCTGAGCCCAGTATGGCCCCAGTCTGTCACCATTAAAGCACAGGAGTGCTTTACTCTTGAGTTATCCTGATGGGAAAATCCTCTTCCAAGGGAACAGAGAGAAGCCAATACTCAGGATGTTTAAAACAGGGATAGAAAGAATGGGAAGGAACAGAGTTGCTCGATGTCCAGAGAATCTACATGGCCCAGGAGATATTTGTTTCAGTACTTAATTTTTCTAATGCACAGTCTTGTCAAAGGGTATGTTCATTGTGTATACCAGTCTAAACAGTTTAAAAGACTTCTAGAAACTTCAGAATTTAGTATCCTAAATAGCTGACTATCAGGAGAAAAAAAAATATTTTGTAAGCCACTTCACAGTACATGTCATGAATCTAAATGGTTCGTGCTCATGTTTTGAAAATATTAAGGCTTTTACTAACACTGTTGTTTTTGTTCTTAAGGACTAGATTCAAGACAAAGAAATTCTAAGAAAGGAGTCAGAGGGAGGACAAAAGGTGATTTAGGTTGGCCCTGAGAGCACGTAGAGAGGCTCACGTTCATCCCATTTGCTTTTGTGCGTGTAGCCAAGGGTCCTACATTAGGATTGTGGTTTCTGTAGGCTTCATCTCGAGCCAACAGCTAGGGAGAGACACACTTCAGGCTTCTCTTTTTATTGACTATAGAGGAAGCTTAGGGAGGGTACAGTCCTCATTTCAGCATCTGAGGTTGACATAAGCCTTTGAGCTTAATTACCCTTTTTTTTTGTTTTTTAATTTTATGTCAGTTATGCAACAAACATGAATTAAGTATTATCTTGAACCGTATTAGAATTATAAAAAACCCCCAATACAATTCTAAAGCCTATTAAAATGTGTCTGTGCAATTAGTCTCCAAGCACGCTGTTGTCTCCTCCTTTCTCACTCCCCATCTTTTTATTTTTCCTCTTGTCTCATTTTTCATGTCCTGCCTGTACGTAGACTGCCATTTCCTTGGTTCAGGACTCATTAATTCTCCACGTCCTATAATGTGCCTGCAGCACTTTGGGGTAATAAAATAACAGTGTGAAGTAATAGAAAGCTGCTTCCACTTGCAGCAAACAAAAGGCAAAATGTTGTCTCGTTTCTATCCGAAATACGAGCAGTGCAGATTCATGTTGAATTAGCCACCAACTGCTGAACACAGATATATTGTGGGACAGCCCCGGGCTGTTTTCAAACAGAAGTGCAGACGAAATGAATCCTTGCCTGGGATGCTTGGAGGCAGCTGGATGTATATCGCTTGCCTCTGGGCTTGCGAATGGTGACGTGTTAGACAGTTTTCGCACCCTTCCAGATACACGTGGTGCCAAATGATACCGACGTGACTCGCTGCTAAAAATCCCAGGCAGCTTTCTGGCCCGCACAGCACTTCGTAGCCCAGCCCCTGGGATCTCTTCCCTTTGGCCCAGCTGTAGGAGGAAGGAGGTCTGCTCGTGTCGTTACTGCCTCTGCCTTTCCCGGCTACACGAGGGTCCTGGGCAGGTTGACTGAGGGATAATGTTTTATTCATGGAGGGGGTGCTGTGTAGCAGGTATGAACGGGGCAGCTGAGATTTTTAAGATCTTTAAAGATTTTTAAGATTTTAACTAATGACCTAATCTTGTAGCCTCTGCCACAAAGATGTTTCCCTGCTCCCTGGTGTTATCCAAGTTGCTGGCGGTGCTGGGGTTAGTAAAGGAGAGAGAGTGAGAGCTGAAAGCCCCCACCAGCAAGTCTCTCCCCTGCATTGCACAGACCTTTTTCAAAAGCTACCATAACCTCAGGGTACTGGATGGTGTCGGTGGATTTTTTTTTCATGAGCGTGGTGAAAAATCCAGACTGTATCATCTTTCACTGATCCAGCAGCATTGGCAAGAAGAGTTGGGGGTAGTTCCTCATGGCCTTTCTCACCTAAACCAGCAATCTTTGCGTCTGAGTGCTAAGCATGGGGCTATGAAATTTGGGGATGACACTGTCCTTCTGCAGGGTTATGTCCATATAAAAATCAAAGCAGCCACTATATTTATGTGGGGTTGATGTCCTTTATTTCCTTGGATGCCTGAAAGCCTGGAGTAGGAAGGTATCCTGAGAATGTGCCTAGATGGTATCTATTTCCAAACAAATATCGTAGGAGTCAAGGCTCATGTTTGGTTTTTTTTTAAATTTAAAATAATATTGGAAACTTGTTGCAATTATTTATATAAAACAAGCATTTGGGTTTGGATCGAAGAACTGTGTTACTGCTCCCGAACAATTGGCCTGTTGTGTTCAGGGCACTGCAAGACATATGTGCAAGATGTTCATTGTGGCAGAGAGCTCTGGTGAGTGGGGTCTGGTTTGGGGACCCAGTGACTGTGAACTCCAAAACCAAATACCCAGAAGCCATAGGTAGGGCCTCAGAAGTGGAAATTGAATATTTTTTTTTAAATATCCAGTGATGGCATATTTTTTTTTTTTTTTTGCCTTGGTATTTCTGAATCCTTAGGGCATAAATGGACCATGTTTTAATTAGCCCAGAGTGGGGTTTTCAGGAGTTTGGGGTTCTATGAAGCTACAAAATTAATTGCACCGTTGATGAAAAAACTGCTCTGACTTTTTCGCAGGTAATCCAGTATGTACTGAAGCAGAACCGATGGGTGTATGGTTTTACTGAGAGATGTCTTGAAGAGAGAAAGGGTTCCCTAAAGCAAAAAGCTTTGTCATCTAAATGTTTATATTTTGGTACTCATTTTTGTGTCTTCCCTGCCAGCTGTGATCAAAGAACAATAAAAATTCTGGTATTTGAATAGAGTTCTCTTAAAAAGCGAGAAAAATCTGCAAAGCAGCATTTAGAGGACATAAGGTGAGGAAGATGCGGAGCAGAGTCAAAATCCAGTAGACTTCTGCTCCGAGCCTGTGTCTGAAGCAGTCTATTTTTAACTTACAGAGAGCCTTCTGAGCTTTAATTTCTACACCTAAAGTTAGGTAGCATGAATTGTCCCTAGGTAAAACCATAGTTCCTTTACTCTACACAGGTGTTTTCAAAATTCATGTGAAATGCCAGTTTTTCTGAGGCCGTGTTCAAAACCTGTTCCAATTATCTTAGCACAAAAGTAATGCTAACTGGGTGTTAAGCTATTTCAATACGCAATGTGAGGTACATTTTTCATTATTTCTTTTAGTTTTAATGTGGTCTAACTAAAATCTTTGTCTTGCAGGTCTGAGTACAGCCGTATGTCCTCTACCAGCAGTGAGTATGACTGAGAATTTTTTTGAAATATGTTCTCATATTTCCTTTTTTCTCATTGCTAATATTTATTAACATCAACCTAGTGTTATGATGGAGTTCACTTTGACACAGTAAAGCCCCCGTTCCTTCTCTTCTTGGATCCATGTCTAGAAACAATATAGAAAATTAAACTGATTGGATGTTTACAAGTGATGTGTAAAGTCATAAATACTGGACCTCACAAGAATGCAAGATGAAATGAGAAAAAAATCTGTAGACACAGTGTGGCCGGTGCAAATGAGTCCTCCAGCCAAATGAGCTTGAAATTATGAATGTCATTAGTGTTGGGGGATGCAGGAATAAGTGAATGCTCATTGTAAACTGATGCTAAGGAAGCACTGAGAGCAAATTCTGCAAAGCAAAGATGATAGATGCTCTAGTAAGTGTAAGTCTTTCTTCACGTTTATGATAGCCGGTTGAATTTCAGGTTATCCAACTGATAAAAGAGGAATGCTGATCTCTGGATTATTTTTTCCTTCTTTTTCAGCAATGCAAAATAGCAATTTTTTTAAGGAACAAGGACTGCTTTTTCAGTCCCCTAACTACCCACTCCAGTCATTTTTAGTTGTAGGACACACTGTATCCACAGCACTCTGAGATGCAATAGTGCTTATTCGTGCGGAGTCACTGGTCTCTCTCTCTTGTCAAAGTGCAAGGTGATGCCTGTCTCCCTGATTCACACGTAGACGTGGGTCCCGTCTGTGCCAAGCAAGCAGATCAAAAACTCGCAGATGACAAACTGTGTTTTATAATCTGGATCTTTAAGCACCATGAAAATCAGAGGGGAAGAAAGCTGTCAGTTTTTTCTCATTCACACTTTCTGGCTGAAGCGTGGAGAGGGTTATTTTCCATCTCTCATGGTCTTCAGCAGAGGGCTTTTATTGATTTCAACAAGAGCTGGATCAGACAGTGTTCGTAATGTCTGGCTCCTGATCTGATGTGACTAGCAGGGAGCTTGCTGTCTTTCCTCCATCTGCTCAGTGTGTGTGTGTCTGAGAGAGAGAGAATTTAGTGCAGCTTTTTCCTCAATTCTGTTGTTTAAATAGATTTCTGGATTCCTGCTCTCAGAAATAATTTTTGAACTGATTGGGAGGCAAAATCCAGGCAATCAACTTTTCTGTGATAGAAAAAAACATACTGAATTGGGCTGGTTACACCAGCTGTGTGCCCCACCACCCCCTAGCTCACAATTTTGGGTGATGGCTTGGGGAATATGTTGCCAGCTTTCTCTGCTTTTCGAGTGGTAACTCACAATTTTTTTTGCCTGGTAGGAGTGCTTATTTGGCAGATAAATTCAGAAGACAAGGTATAGGCAAAGTATTTCTCATCTAAAATTTTGGTTTTGATCCCTTACCAACTTTGCATGACTGCTACACATTTTGCAAATACAGGTGACAAATTACATTTGTAAGTCTTTTTTTTTATTATTAAATGAGCTGTTTGTGAGGGCAGTTTTTGGTTGTGTGGCAGCTGCAGTGTGTCATGTTAACTGTGGTCACCTCAGTGTCTTGCTGACCACGGCTGCCCAGAATATGTGAGGGTTACAGATGTATTTCAACACCAGTAATTTGTCAGTACAAGGAGATATTTTCATTCCAGCAAAGACACAAAAGTTCAGGAGACAGGACAGTATCCTTCTTTCTCTTTTCTGCTCCCGAGGAAGATTATATTGATACAGTTTCACTGGTAGCAGTATTTAACTTTGCCTTTTGTGGGGTTTGTGTGGTCTGTTTGGTCAGACAGTGGAAAAGTAACAAAACCAGCTACTTAAAAGAGTTTCAGTAAAATAGAAATGCTTTCATGTCAGAAGCTGGCAGTCAGGGAGTGCATAATGCATTTGAAGAAAAGATTAATGGGGATGAGATATTAGGGAAAAAAAAAAAAAAAGTTGATTTGGCCATTTTAATTTCTTTGGGGAAAAGATCTGGCAAGTGGTATCATTCATAGTACAGAAAGCACTCTAATCAATGATGCTGTTAGGCCCTAACATAGTACAAAGCTGTTACAAATTAAAAAGCAAAGAATCTCCATTACCTACAGCTACTTTGCCTGAAGCTCCTGTTCTAATGAAGTGGAGTTTATCTAAACCAGAAGGATTACAGGCTGATTTGGTTTTATGGGGGTCTTATTTGGTGGTAGCAATGAGGCTCCAGTTTCAGTGTTTAATAAATGAACAGCCTTCTGAATTTCTGAATGAGCTCCACCCGACAACGGTTTTCCACAGATGTGCCAAGAAGAGGATAAGAAAGATTTAGGAGGTGAATTAACTACAGCTGCCTCTGTCACTGGCTGCAGCGACAGCAGCTGAACAAGCTGCAGGACTTTGCACCAACGCAAAAGCACATAGGAACCCTGAACCCCCCCAAGTCAGAAGTAAAGTCTCATCGGCTGCTGTATGGCAGGGGAAGGATTTCTGCACATGCACTATTTCTGGTACTTTTTTTCCCCAAGCATATGGCAGCAGTTATTGTGGATGACGTGCTACTTCAGCAGGTCAAAGTCCTGCCTGCTGGGTTGGTTGGATCCTGGGTCTTCTGCAGCATCTCAATTCTCTTCTTCTTTGCCCTTGTGCCCCAGCTTTGGGTAACCCAACAAAGGCGTTTTACTAGCAGCATTCATCTAACATTTGTGGGTTTGCACAGCAAGTACTTTGGGAAAGAGTACCGGAGTTTGCAGGGTGTGCTTATTCCTGCAAAAAAAAATTAAAAATGCAGCAGTTATCTGCCGTGTGGGCTCTGGCTGTCGTCAGGGTGGCTGTGTGCCACTGTGTGCCTTTTTTTACTGAGCAGAGGAAATAGGCCATGCAAACCTGTCTGCTGGATGCTGGGTTTTGAGATATTGCAGCTTTGAAAGGTTCAGCAGTGTGATTTCAAGGAAGAGAAATGCTAAATTAATTTTGACTTTCTTTTTTTTTTTTTTTCCACCCCCCCCGGATTCTGGTGTGTTTAGCCACTTTTCCCTTTGTTCTTTAGCAGGAGGTGTGCTTTGTCTTATTAGGAAGTTTTGCCCATTGGTGTGCTCATCATTAATCTAGGGAATGCATTAAGCTTCTTTTTGCTCATATTTCCAATTACCTTTTCAATTACAGTTTTCAGTTACCATTAGGGATCCCTAACCATATACAGAAGGGAATTGTGCTCGTCACTTTACACACACAGAAGAGACCAAAGTACATAATGCCAAAATATAAAGACCATGGGTGGCATATGGATAGCGATAGTTGAAATCACAATGAAATAATTAATTAGTGTTGGTCAGCACAATAAGCAACAGTCTCTGCCTGTCAACATTTTAATTAATTTCAAATTGCTTTGAGCTACGTGTTTTAGGGATGGTTTTTGATGAGGGAGGGGGTGTTTTCATGCAGGCTGCTTATTTCCTCCTCTGCATAATGTTTGCATTTATGATAATGGCTCTTCAGAAAGACTCAAACCAGAAGTGGAAATTTTGAAGCAAGACTTTTGTGATTTGTGACATTTGAAATATTCTATACCTAGTCTGCTCTGGAGCTAATTTAACCAGGTTGTCTTAGAAATAACTGTGGAATTGAGTGATTTTTTTTTTTTTTTTTTTTTTTCCCTTTTCCCCTGACATTTTTCAGCAAGGCAATCAGCAGGGAGCTGCCTGGATACACATTTGTACTGTTCCAGCTAAGTCGATAAATGAAACATAAAACTGGCCCTATGGGATAGGATGCAAGTTTGTGGCAGATTTTAGAGCATTTGAGATAATAAACCCCCATAGCATGCAGTGGTTCATGTTGTGCTTCTCAATGAGGCAAAGGGCTTGTCACTCACCTGCTTTGCAGTTGGAAAGCTGGTAATTTGCCTTCCTCTGCCCCACTGTCTTTCATTTAGCAGCTGGGAAATTACTTGAGTCCTTCTGGGTTGTTTTCAGGTTGTTTGTATTCTTCCACGGTAAACCTGAGAGCTGGGTTATTAAAATTTCATTTCCGTGTTGCACATACTTCCTAACCCATGGAATTTCACCCACTTTCTGGTTCTAAAAATTAAGCACAGGGCAGTTTCTTTTGGCAGATTTACAAATATGTGGGTTACTGACCGTGTTTCTTTTTCATAATTTTTTTTTTTTCTGTTTGGTATTCTGTTCCTATGCTAGTATAAATTCAGATATTTGTTTTGGGATTTGGTCAATGTTTTCTCGGTGTCATCTGCATCGGCTCCCTGGGCTCGTTTTGGACTCTATTTTCTCTACAAGTGGCAAGAATCCTCGTGCAAAACTTGCAGTTTTTACGGAGGGCTGGTAAGGGCAAGGTTTCTTATTCTTGAGTCCAGGGGCAGGGTGAGGTGCTAAGGCTACTTCCACGTACCAGCTGAAATAGGCTGCCCTAAAGGCACTTTGAGTGGTAGATTTTATTTCTTGAGAGGTATTTGCTCTCTATGCTGGATCCGGCCATGGGTAATGGGAAATCACCAGCGCTACAGCACCCACTGTTTATGAAAAGCCCCTTGAGACCCTGTGTTTGTGTGTGCACCCTGAACTAGCCCGAGACCACATGCCCTAATTGATTGATGTCCTTCGTCTGTCAGATTTATTCCCAGTCTTTTTTAGACACCTAGCAATTATTAGTGAAGACAGTTAGGATGAGTTAGTGGCATGTAGTCAAGTGGCAATATTCAAATAAGAAAAAAAAAAAAAAATGGTTGCCCAAAAGATAATGCTGTCCTGAACTGGAGGGAAAATCTTTGTTTTCCTGAAGCTGCGATACCTTTCTTTGCTGATTCAGTGCTGTGTTTATCTGCTCTCATTTTGAGTGTGTTTACTTTGAGGCCAGCTGTGAAGTGAGAGCCTCATTAGAAGTAGAAATGGCGTATTTGCATGCACTGTCATTTTGAGGACCCATCAGAAGCTACTCGGGTGCCGCTGTAGTCCATCAGGAGGTTGGGGGGGTCAGTGTTCGGCCACGTGTCCATCCAGACTCGGAGCTTGCCAAGGCAGTT